CAAGAAAACAGAGGGCAAGGTTAGGATTTTGTGTCCTAGGCATGAAACAGCTTTGGCCACCAACCCAGGCATCAAGCTAGGATGAACAAAGGACATCTGCTCTGCCCCTGACTGATATAAGAACAACACCACCAATGAGGTGCCTCTTTGCCCATTGCCAGGGGGTTTCTTCACTAACAGCCAACAAACTCACCCAGCCAGCCAGCCAGGCCCCACCCAGCAGGGTTCCAACTTGACTCAGGAAATGGGTGGAGTGATTACAATGTTTGGGTCAGAAACAGCTTATAATTAAACCCAGCAGATCCTGAGAGCTACGTACTATCAACCCCTTTCTCTTGCCCTAAGCATCTCTTCTCTTCACTGGTCAGAAAAGATACCTGACTTTTGGATTATGCTTATCATTGTTGAACTAGCCTTCAGGAAGAGGGAAAAGCAGCCTCTCTTACCTGCTGAGCCAATTCTCGAGTGGGAGCCAGAACCAAAGCCTGGGTAGCCTTTAGATCTAACTCAATCTGTTGCAGAATTGATATGGCAAATGTGGCAGTTTTCCCAGTCCCAGACTGAGCTTGAGCAATCACATCATAACCTGAACAGACAAATTAGGAGTTACATGTGGTAGAGGATATACACTTCGGCCTCAAAATACTCAAGGCCCAGCTTCATGAGATCAATAAGCACCAACAGTTACAAACCAAGCATTAAGTGTTTTAAAAATCACCTTAAAATACAGTGGTACAAAGAGAACAGATCAGAAAACAAGATCAGGCATTAGCTCCCTTAATACCACACCAAGTTAGGCTGGAAATACAGCTCGAAAAGTTAAAAAAAAAAGCCAGCCGGGTGTGGTGGGTGCACACCTGTGACCCTGGCAGTCAGGAGGCTGAGGTAGGAGGACCACTGCGAGACCAGCCTGGGGTACAAAGTGAGCTCAAGGCCCGCCTGAACTGCATAGCAAGACCTTGTCTCAAAAAAAAAAAAAAAAAAAGAAAGTTAAAAACCCAGCAACTCAAGTGCCTGAAGCATGAACCAGACATGGGTGTAGATCAAAAGTCAACCTGGCACGAGAAGTACTCAATGGGATGCTATCCTATCCAGATCAGACAATTCGTATCTGATTTCTGAGGCTGTGAGGTCTCACCCTTGATACAAGGAAGAATGGCACGCTGCTGGATGGCAGAGGGTTTCTCAAAACCATAGGCGTAGATGCCACGGAGGAGGGACTCCGAGAGGTTCATGTCATCGAAGCTGTCAACAATCTCATTCCAGTTACTCTAAAAGATGCAAAGAAATTAAAACCTGAGTAATGGAAAAGGAAAGACTGGTGCAAATGAGATCTGGTGTCTGCAACTTCCCACAACCTCTCCAACCTCCAGGGCGGCAAATGTTTCTGGACACGTGAGTATACACCCTTTAAGAAGGGGCCAGTCCACTCAACTCCACACACCTATGAGGTTGGGCGTTTAGAGGTGTGAACAGAGCCCAAAATGACATGTTTTACAGGCATCTTCAGGAACATAAAATGTCCCGCAATAGGCAGTACTCAGAATAAAACCTTAGTTCCTCAACTACCATTTCAGGAACAAGGAAGCACTGCTAGGGGCACTGTCCTTTGTGAAGAGGTGGTGCCAGGTTCCAGTCTCACCTCGATGACGCCTTCGGGCTCCATCCCATCTGGGCCATTGTCTCTGGATCTGTTGATTTAAAGCATGAGTTTTGTCCCCTGCCTGAATGAAGCACTTTGACAACCGACCATGCATAATGCCATCAGGCTTCGCCTCCCATTGAACTCCCACCAGTTCCCAAAACACCAGTCACTTTAGAAATGAGCCAAACTTTTGCCCCATCTCAGGAGTGACTCAGGGTGGGCCACCCGCGCCCCCCCCACCTCGTCATGAGGTAGCCCTTTTGAGGACCCTGGGGCTTGCCGGTGCGCGAAAGTGGCCAAGATGCAGTGCTAGCTGCGAGGCCCACGTGTTCAGGGCCTGGCTGCTCAAAGCCCAAGCGCGTGCACCTCCCACCGCAGCAATCAGCGCGCCGGAAGTCCCGCCCTTCATCGCCCAGATGGAGGGTAGGACATCCCCTTCCCCCACGTCATTCCGCCCGCGCCCTCCCCCACTCCCTCCAGCCGAGTCCCCCCCCCCACAGTGCCCGGATGTGGGAGGCCGCGGGCGGTGGCGGCCTCACGCACAATGAGCCCCAGCCGAGCTAGCAAAGGGGGAGATTGCACAACACTTAGAAGCGAAGCAGACTGGGGGAGGGGAACCCCTCAGGCCGCCATGTGCTCGCTCCCTCGACCACCCAGCGGCGTCTCGCCCCCACCCGCGGAACAATCCACATCCCGCCCGCCCCCGTCGCGAAATGGCGTCGCCCTCCCATACCTCAGGCCGCTCACCCCCGAAGGAAAGTGGACCTGCCCATCCGCAGTTTGCCAATTGCCCGGCTTGTGCGGCAAAATGGACCCGCCCGCCCGACGCCGGGTGGGCTCCTGGTGCCTCACGCGGCCGCTCCTCGGGGTTAGGCTCAGTCCTGGCCGTCAAGAAAACCAGCACACTGAACGGCCGGCTTCTTCTCCCCGACCCACATTACAACCGCGACGAAGCGACCTGCCGAGGACCGAGGCACCCCCACCACTCGCGAGTGGTACCGCCAGGACCCTCCGGAGCCCCGCGCGCGAGCCCTCCCCGGGCACAGGGAGGCGACCGGCCCGGCCGGCTCGGGGCCGCGCAGCCGCCTCCACCTCTTGCCCACGCTAGGTCGCGGCCTCGCCTCGCCACTCAGCGCCGCGGCTTCGCGCACGGTACCGGCCCGGCCGAGACCTTGTAAAGAAGTTCGCGCGCTCCGCCCCAGCGGAGCTGTCCTTCCCTCTGCCCCGGCGGCACCGGCGCCCGCGGATCTTCCCCCTCGCCCCCCCGGACGGTTCCTCCCGCTGGGTCTTTCCCGCACCCCGGGTGGGCCTGGGGCGGTGGGACTTTCGGGTCCCCCGGAAGGGCCCTCTGAAGGGTGCGGCAGGGTAAGTAGCCACAATCTCTTACAAATGCTTTTCTTACCGGGAATCTTGACTCGCAGACATGATCCTTAGAAACTAGGGCGGAGTGCCCGTCTAGCGACAACTTATAGAGCGCCCGACCCCGCCCCGGCTTTGGCATTGGCCTGGCAGTCTGGTCCCCGCCTGCCGGCGCGCCCCACCTCGGCGTGACGCTAGTTCGTAGGCGCGCCAACGTCCAGCCGTCACTGGGCAGCTGGAGTGCCTGTCAAGGTGGAGGCCCGCCCCGCCACGTCATTGGCCGAGGCGCCCGTCTTTCTCGCCGGTACGGAAGTGACATCTGGGCGTCAGGCCTCGAGGCCTGGTCGCCATCTTGCGGCCCTGCACCCTCACACGTGCGGAGGTGGTCGGGCCTCGGTCATGTGGCTCGGCGGGCCCTATCAAGCGAGGGGGCAAGGTCTCAGCCTCCAGGGACTTCCGGACTCCCGGGACTGCCACTTCCCTTTTCCTCTGCTCCAGGTTTCCAAAGAAGCCAAACTTTTGTGTTCTCCCCTACGGGAGCGTTAGCTCCGACGCGCGGGCGTGTCTTAGCGGGGATGACACAATCAGACGCGGTATCCCAGGCGCAGGCAGGGTCCCCCGGCTGGGGCGAAGAGGCGAGGGCCCTGGCCGCTCCCTGCCGTCCTGCCCCCGCGCTCTCCCTCGGTTTGGAAGCTCCTTGACTCCCTTCGCCCTGCCCCCTGCTCCCCGGGCTGGGACTTTGTTCTGGATCGCACCGGGGGTGCTGGCCTGGCTCAGGTATGAAAACTAGCTTCTTCGGCCTCCAGACCCCAACAGGGGTACAGCAGCACATTCGGGGCCCTCTTTGTTCTTTGAGACGGGTCTTGATAGATAGATAGACCAGGCTGGCCCTGAACGTGCTCCGACCCTCCTGCCTCAGGGTTGCAGGCGAGCGCCACCATGCCCGGCCGGTTCGAGGCCCTTTAAGGAAGACCACCGCTTACGTATCTCCAAAGGATCCTTTATTAACCAGAGCAGGACCGTGGCGTATATATATATATATATATATATATATATACTTGTATATATATATATATATATAAAAAAAAGTCTGAAGATCTGGCAGGCAGTAATCCCTCTGCTCCCCCCACCCCACAAGGATTTCCTGCCCCCTGTGCATGGAAGGGGGATGACTGCTCCACCCTGGCCACAAGGCAATACTCCTCTCTGCAAAGAGGAAGAAAAGGGCTTTTCTGTGGCCACTCCCTGCCTATCAGAAATCAAGAAGTATTCTCTCAAAGAAAAAAAATACAGAAATCAAAACATTTAAATATGAAAAAGGGGGGTCTGGAGGGGAAAGGCAAGAGGAAAGGAACCGGAGTTTCTTGGGAAGGGTCTCCCATGTCTCCCTGCCCATTAATGGGCCCAGGGCCTGGGGTACGAGGCTCACACAGTGAGTTTGCAGTGACACAGCTCCTTGTAGATCTGCCGTCGAAGTTTGGGCATGTCCTGCTGGGTGAAGCTGAATGGCTGAGACAGGGCCAGGTGCTTGCAGTACTGGGTATTAACAAAGCAGGTCATGAGAACCATCTACTGAACATCTCTCCCAAATCGGGACCCGTGCCACATATTCCATACGCCGTACATCTCGGTCCCCATTTCACATACAGAGGAAGCCAAGGTCTTACAATCTCATAGTCTGGGGTTCAAAATCAGCCTGACTCTAAAGCTGTTGTTTTTACTACATAATTAACCGAGGGTGTACATGAGAGAAAATACATGAGTCAGGGTTTAGGAGGTAGCTTGAGCTAAGGGCTGTGGGATGGACAGCACCAATGAAATCTGGGCTTTTGTGTTATAACTGATAAAGCTACTTCCCGCCCCACAGTTGATTTGTGAACCAGATGAGGAAACTGCATCCCAACACTTTAACCCAACTGACTCCAGCCCTGCGGGGGAGAAGGAAGCTGCCCTCACCTACCTGCAACACAAAGGCGCCACAATCACTGTCATTATTCTGCCTGGCCACATTCTAGAGAACAGAAAGGAAGACCCCATTCACTTGGAGACTCCCAGGGGTATATGACTGAAATTTCTGCCTCCAGCAACTACCCCTACAATCACCTCATTCCCGTCCCCTTGGAAACTCACCATTTTGAAGTAACCTTTCCAGCCCTGGTGGAAATCCAGCCGGTCTTTCTTCACCGCCTCAGCCTGTAGATACTTGGCAATATGCTAAGAAAATGAGGAAAAAGACGAAAGTTAAGCCAACTGAACCTAAGGTTTGATAGTGGCAGGTCATGGACACCACGTCCAGTTCATGCCTCAGAGGCCCAAAACCCACCCTTCTTCCTGAACGCCTTGCCACTGGATATCCCTTCATTCTACCTTGTCCTCCCTTTACCCCTCAAACCTTAGGGCAACGGCGGTTTAGAGTGCGCTGTGAGTCAAAATAGGTGATGGTGCGTCGCCTCACATCAACCGAGATGAGGGACCAATGTACCTCCAGGTGTATGGGGATTAGCAGTAGCTCCTTATTGAAGATGTCCACCTGAAGAAAGAACCCAGAGATCAGGTACAATACACAAGGATCCTCACAATTGCCGCAAGGTTTAAAAAAAGAAATAAGGCAAGAAAGCCAAGTGGGAGAACACATAACGTAGGCCCTGAATTGTGAGGTAAAATTCTGCACCTACACATTTGGATTCTTTTTTTTTGGTCTTTTTGAGACAGGGTCTCGATATACAGTTCAGGTCAGCCTTGAACTGACTATATAGCCCCAGGCTAGCTGGGAATTCAATAATTCTCCTGCCTCAGCCTCTCGAGTGCTGGAATTACAGGCGTGTGCCACCACACCCAGCTTTTCTCCAGTTGTTTCTGGGTTGGTTTGTTTTTTTTTTTTGAGATAGGGTCTTGCCATATAATTCAGGCTAGCCTTGAACCCAAGGAGCTCCTCGAGCCTCAGTCCCTTTTGAATGCTAGGATTACAGGGCCACCACACCTGGTCTCCAGACTCAGGATTCTACAACCAGACTGCCACAGTGCTAATCTCGCTCCTCCATTTACTGCCTATGGCCATGGACAATGTACTTAAAAAGTTTCTATACCTCAGTTGCTTTACTGTTAAGAGAATTGAAACAGTAGTACCCCCCCATCCATTTGTTGTAAAGAATAAACTCATTGAATATCATATTAAGAATAATACATGGCACAAAGTAAATGGTTAATTAGTTAATGCTCACAATAACCCTAGCACAAACTGTCACGTTTAACGTATCAGATAAGGAAATAGCAGTAACTTTTTGTTGCTGTTTCTTTTTCTTTTGTTTGTTTTTTGTTTTTTTGAGACAGGGTGGTTTTGACTCACTATGTAGCCCAGGGTGGCCTGAACTAGCAGTGATCCTCCTGTCTCAGCATGCCAAGTGCTAGGATTACAGGCATACGCCACCACACCAAGCAATAGCAGTAACTTCTTGCTTAAGGTTATAGAAAAAAACAGCAAAATTTTTGTTTTTGTTTTTTGAAGGTCTCATTATGTAGTTCCTCCTGCCTCAACCTCCATGGGCTAAGATTACAGGCAAATGCCATTACACTAGGTTACAAGGAATGATTTGCTTTTGTTTTTTGGGACAGGGTCTTGCTATGTAAGTTCAGGCTGGCCTTGACTCACTATGCAGTCCAGGCTGGCCTCAAACTTGCAGTAATCCTCCTGCCTCAGCCTCTGGAGTGCTGGAATTATAGGTATGTGCCACTACACCTGGCTAAGAGGAAAGATTTTTAACTCAGGTATACAAGAGGCTAATTTCTTCTTACTGTATGTCATCCCTGGCTTTACTGGAAGAAAGAGACCCACCAGGTCCTTAAGCATGTAAACTTTTTTTTTTTTTTTGAAGACGGTCTGGCTATGCAGTTCAGGCTGGCCTTGAGCTCACTTTATAGCCCAGGCGGGTCTCAAACTCACAACAATCCTCCTGCCACAGCCTCCCAAGTGCTGGGATTATGGGCATGAGCTGCCACGTCTGGCAAGCATATAAACTTTTACAACCTGGGACAGAAATTTAAAAATGGACTATACAGCTGGACATGGTAATTCCTCCTGTAATCCCAGCATTTAGGAGGCTAAGGCATGAAGATTACCACAAATTCAAGGCTAGCCTGAACTACATAAGCAAGACTGTCTAAAAAAACAAAACAAGAGCTGGGCGTGGTGGTGCACTCTTGTTACCGCAGCACTCAGGAAGGTAAAATAAGAGAATCGATATGAGGCTCAGGCCAGCCTAAATTGCATAGTGAAATCCTGTCTCAAAAAAAAAAAGATAATACAAGGAATGCTCAAGCTAGCTGCTTAAAATTTCAATGGCTTCTCAGTACACAGAATAAATTCTATTTTCCTTCTCTCTGGTCCAATCTTCTATCATTCTTCCTTTGCTCACTGTGCTCCAATCACATAGGCCCTCTGTTCCTCAATCATGTTCATTCTCTCTGAGTTTCAGGTACTTGCCTAGAACATTCTTCCCCTAGATCTGCATATGGCTAGCGTCTCATCATTCAAGTCTCAGCTATGGGAGACCTTCTTAGACCATCCAAAAGAAAGTACCACTTTCCATGTTATCACTATTATTATTATTCCATGTTATCACTATCATTATTATTATTATTATTGCTTGGAGTGTAAGGAAAGCTATCACATTATTGTCTTAACTGTTCACAGCATTTAGCACTATTTGAAATATAATTTGCTTATTCCCACTCTATAAAGGCAAGAAATTTCCTTTAATATTGTATCCTTAGTGTGTAAAACAGTGTCTGCCATACACAGGATGTTTAATATTTGCAAGACTGAACTGCGTTCATGGAAAACAAAAGGTTAATTCTTTAGGTCCAAGGTGTTACACAAGTAGATGTGAATTCATAACTCACATTTTTGGTCCACCTTTTCACCCCATCATAACCCTTGGTACGGAGTTTATCATAGAAGAAACTGTTGAAGAAATGCACCTGTGCCAATGACACAAAAGAGCTGGATGGAATTTAAAGACCTCAGAGCTTCTGACCGAGTTTCCCTTCCCCTATCCCCATCCACTCCATTTCATATGGCTCTAAGAACCATTCCAACAACCCCCACTCCAGTTCACTGACCAAAAAATTACTGTTTTTATCCTTTTCTTATAGATATGTTCCCATCCCAATTTTGGGGGCTAGCAATAGGGTAAAACATCAAAGACTGGTAGAAAAGAAAAGAATTGATATATTCAGGACCAAGCTTAAAGATTTGAAATATTAACACCTACTACCCCTCCCTGCAAAAGAGACCTTCTTTATATATAAAATGGAAGAGAGAAAGGGAACTGAAAAATCTGCTTAGAATTACAGAAATTTTTTAGGGGAGTTAAATATTTGGCTGGACCTACCTTTTCAGGAACCGTGTCCATGACTAGGTCTCCATACATGTTCATCACCTGGGAAGAAGATGGGAGGCAACTTGCCATGGGGGGTGTGGCATGGGTACAGGGCTCTCCACGGAGAGGGCCCCAGATACCCTGCTCCCTGAATCTGCTGTCAGACGTGTCTCTACCTCTTCTCACCTGGTCATTGAGCCAGTTCTGTCCATACAAGGTCCCCAAGTCATCCATAGTCAGCACATGCCGTTTATAGGACACTCGGAAGCCCCTCACCATTGCATTGCCTGGCATCCGCTGGTATGACTGGATCAGCTGTAGTACCAGTCCCTTCCTAAGTAGACCAAAGGTAAAACCACATAAGAGATGATGAGAGACCACAGAGCACATATAAATACCTTCCAGAAATACCTACTAATGCCTTGAATAAGAATCTAAAATGTGCCAGGCATGGTGGCACATGCCTGTAATCCCAGCACTTGGGAGGCTGAGGCAGGAGGATCACTGCAAGTTCGAAGCCAGCCTGGGCTACAAAGTGAGCTCAAGACCAGCCTGAACTGCATAGCGACTCTGTCTCAAAAAAAGACAAAAAAAAAATCTAGAATGATTTCCCCCCACCTTGTCATTAGTTCTTTTGAGGACCTGCTAAAGGCCCCGAAAGAGGCACATGAATACATGTTTCAGGGTCCCTAGTAGAGACCGACCCAGGTGGCTTATAGGGCCTTGACAACTTGCTTACTGATTCCTCCCCTTCAGCTCTAGCTTCCTCTTCCCCAAGTATATCCCTGTGAGAGAAAAAAACAACAGCATTCTTTCCCCATACCTTAGCTCTAGCCCTCCTTTGAAGGACATCTGTCCTTCAAACCTCACCTAGATGGTGTAGAGAACTCCTGTTGGAAAATGTCCTCCAACTTCTCTACTACCTCATCAGTGCTGAGGGGGATGAGGCTGCCGTAAGTCTGAAGGAATTCATCCAAGATGCCTGAGTGGAGGAGGGAGAGGGGAAAGTTGAGACCCTCACCTAGGAAATGGACCAGGGAAGGAAATTAGGTCCTCTAAGGCTTACTTTGTACACAGGTCACATGTTCTTCCCGCAGGGGGCTATGCTGACCAGCTTTCTCCCCAGGCCGCTCTGCTTCTTCTGCAGTGCCCAAATCAGAGCCCTGAAAAAGTTCCTGAGCCACATGGTCCCCGATGCTGCACACATTGCTGATGAGGATGCTGGCATCAGGGGGTGCCAGGCTACGCTCCCCTTCTGGCCCAGGTGGTCCCCCAAAGCCGTTGGGCAGAGTACATGAGAGGAGACCTATAAGAAGGGGAAATAGGATGGAGATGAGAAACTGACGCGTTAAAGAACAAGAGGATTAACTGATGCACACGAATGATACAACCACAAGGATGGACTGAAGCACAATCTACCAATTTAAACTTTAAGGAACAGACCCAAAGCGTAAGACAAAGATGTCTCAGAGTTTCTAAACAGAAAGAATTCCTATGTAAAGAAAAACCAGACAACACAAATCATAAATTTCAGAAGTATTTGTCCCTATTATATGCTTAACGCCTAGGTTAGTACCCAGCATACAATAAACACTCAATAAGTACTTGACTAATAAAGATGGTTTCTGGCTAGAGTTCTCTGCAGGGACAATACTCTGAGTAATAGCACCACAGACCAATGTATGGATGATATACTCCCTAATGGCAACATCCCAATTCAGCACCATGAAAAAAGCACCCTCTGGAAATGTATATACAGGGCTCTTGAGAGGTGGAAAAAGAACCTGAAGTAGACAAGACTGATTTTCCTAAAACACAGCTCCCTTTATTCAGGGACTGTCTCTTTAGCTTATTCCCTACTCAAAGTGAAGCTTAATGAAGACATCTCTCAGCTATTCTGGACCGCTTAGCTTGCTTTCCTTAGGCTTAGTTCTCACCACAGCAAGAGGTTCCTGGTGCTCCAGGCTCTCAGCCCTCCCCACTCCACCCTGGCCCCTTTCCCACCTTACCCGTGTCAGGGTCCAGAGGAGACTTTGGAGTCCACCTCAGTCCATCTTCCTCCATGGGGGGCCCAGAGGGCACTGCTGGAGACCCTCTCACCCCATCCTCAGCCATGAGAGCACCTAGCAGACCCAGTCGGGGCGGGGGTGGCCCCCTGGGGGAGTCAAAACGACAGCAGGGGGATGGCACCTGTGGCGTTGCACCCCCTTCCTGGGGGGAGAGATGGTTCTTGGGGTGTGCGAGGCTCCTCCGTCGGCCCCGGTGGCGCCCCCAAAGCTTCCAGTGGAATGTCAGCGAGGTGCTTTTTGAGTAGAGCAGCATCTGGAAGGCTCTCATGGCTCTGCGGCGGCGCTGTGAACAGGTTTTTCGATGAGTGGGGCGGGGAGGGCGAGACCGCTGGGAAGCTCCCAGTTGACTCCATCTGGGGTGCAGCCTCCAAGCTGCCACTTCCTCTTCCTCATCTTCATCTTCTTCATCCTCCTCCTCTTCCTCCTCTTCACTAGCTGAGGCATCAAAAGAGGGTCGAGGAACAGGGAGACGTCTGGCTGGCACTGTGGTCCCTGACCCAGGATCTGGCCCAAACCCTCCGCCTGACTTGAGCCGTGGTTTAGGGGGTGGGGGCCAACGAAGACGCTCCCGCCTAGGGCTTGAGTAAGTTGTGCCGGGTCCGGGAGGCTCAGGCCCCCAAGACCCAGTCCCTTGTATAGTCTCTTTCATCTTCCAGTACACTGTAAAACAAAGATCAGAGTATCAGGATCTATGTATCCTCCCCGCCCAGATCCTGCCTCACTCGAAGCGTGCCTCCTCTGGATTCAAAACAAGTAAACTAAAGAAGAAAAAAACCCCCTAGTTTCACTTCTTCCCAGCCTCACAAGAGGCCCTTTACAGTCCGTCATCCTCCTTTCCTTGCCTAGGTAGACAAGGGAAGATGGCTAAGCAGCAGGCCTCAGAGGTCTTACTTCTCAGAAGCTTGGGTGATGCCTAGTATTTTTAGGCCCTACTTCTCTATTTTAATTTTAATTCCACCAGGAGTGTCCTAAGAGAGCCTCGTACCCGTAAGAGTGATTTAACTCGGGGAAATGGCTCAGCACAGGAATCTTAACGCAGTGCACAGGTACCTGTGGATAACACAACTTTCACAGTGAAAGTGTGCTCCAGTGTGGGAAGACAGCTCCTTTCCCGCTGGAATGAATGAGGTAGGGAAGGTGTATGGGCACGCTGAGGTCATCTCAGACGCAAAGGGGAGCACCAGGGTTATGGCTCAGGGGGCTGAGTCTGGTGAAAGGGTGAATATTTTGAAGCAAACTGAAAGGGAATCAAATTGGTACTTAGGTGACCTAATCAAGGCGCTCGGACAGACGCGAGCTGCAGGACCCAGGTCGGACCGGGCCCGCTCCTGCCCCAACTCCAGGGACCAGAGCGCGTCCCAGCACCTGTACGGTCCTCTAAGCTAAGTCGGTCGGCGCACGAGGGCCTTAAAAAGCCCCACCGAAGGCCTCTGGGTCCGGGTTAGCTGGAAGCGAAGCCTCGGAATGGAAGAGAAAACGACAGGCAGGGGCGGGGAAGGGGCGTCCTCACCGGGAACGGGGAAGCCGGGCGGACAGGCCCGAGGGCGGGCGTCTCCGCCTCAGGCTTCCCGGCTCATCTTTTAGGCGCCGGCGGCGGCCCCGCCACTCCTGCTGTCTTCAGGCGCAGCCGTCTCAATTCAGGCTTCCAACGCTTGTGGGCCGCGCGCCTCGCCGCGCCGCCCCACCTCGGCCACCTCTTGCTCGGCTTCGGCTTCGGCTTCAGCCTCCACCTCCACCACTACCACCTCCCCCACCTCCTCCCCCTCCCGCGATCCCCAGGCCCACCGGCGATGGTGGCGCACAATTAATACGTCACGCCCGGCGAACGGCGCCGGCGCGGCCTAAAACGTTCCAAATCCCCGCCTACCCAAGAACGTAGGTGCCACGGGACCTGTCGGCCGGGAGCGCCACGCCGGGCTGCGCCTGCGCATATCCGCAGACCTGGCTGCGTGTGGCGGCCCCACCGGTCTGCGCCTGCGTGTCGCGTCCCGCCTCTCGCCCTGCGGCGTAACCCAAGGGCTTCCGCGCGCGTGGGCTTGAGCCTGGGGTCCCAAAGAGCTGGTTCAGCGAGGAGCACCGGAGCGGAGACAGGAGGGCAGGGAGGTCTGGCCGGAGGACTGGCCGGAGACAGGAGGGCAGGGAGGTCTGGCCGGAGGACTGGCCGGAGCCAAGGCGCTAGGGGAAACGGAGTCGGGCTATCTCTCATTCTTTTATTTAAGCGAGCATTGAGCAGAAGAGCTCAGAAGACTGAGGCAAGAGCAATGCCAGGGCATACAACACATCGAAGGCTTCCTGGGCACCAGTCCCAGCCCGGAGGGACTTCAAGTGGCCTTCCACGCCACGGGAATGGAAAGTATGAACGGCAAAACACGGGAACCGAGGAATAAGATGGCTGCAAAAGCCCCCTATCTTCGTCGTCGGGCACCCGCTGCAGACGGACGCATAATAGATGCATCTCTGGAGATAGTCACGGAAACCGTTGCCCAATAGACAAGTGAAGATGAGGCTTTTGTTGGGTGAAAAAGTTGAGGGTACCTGGGGAGGCGTGGCATAGGGAAGTAGGGATTTTCCCGAGCAGAGGTGGCTTCCTGGACCTCTGCCAAGAAGCAGGATGATTCCCCCAAACAGCCACTAGATGGTGGTGCTGTTCTGGATGCATTCCAGTGGACCCATTGCAGGTCTGGACAATGCCCGGCACCCTCCTTCCAACTCCCACACGCAAACGCAAGAATTTAGGGCTGGACGGGAGATAAAGAAGATATTCTACCTCTTTAATACCTCTTAACTCAAAGTCTAGGGTGTGGGAGTGGAAGAGGGAAAGGGAAGAATACAGCATGAAGGCAAACCTAAGCAGAGGTTTCTCTTCTTGCCCACTCCCCAGCTTTTGTCTCCCCAGCGCCTTGCCGTTTTCAGGATGCACCCACGCTGGCCTTCCCAGCTCAGAACCCCCTTTTATAACACAGTCACAGTTTCACAAACCCCAGAAAGGTTCCATGTGGAGAGAGGCTAAGCTTTGCCTTTGCCCGGGGAATTACGACACTGAGAGTATCCCCGTGGTGTAAATGGAAGACACCTGAGAGAAGAGAGAAAACAGGTGCTCAACGAAGCTCAGCGAAGCACAGCCGTCCACACGCTCTGATGTTTTACTCTGCCTTCTCCGGTTCCATCTTTCCTTTGTTTCCTACAAGGACCTACGCATTCTGTCCTTTGTTCCTCAGATCTGCCTCTCACCCAGGCTTTCACCCCGCTACTTTGTTCACACCACTCCCCGCAATCAGCGAGGTTCCGCTCTGCTCACATCTACCCTCCCCGCCCCACGTGGGTCTCACCTGCACTGTAGCAGCTATTGTAGGCCCTGGCAGGGTCAGAGGGCATGCTGCATATACATCGAAATAGAGTCTCCTGCCTTCCTTGGCCTTCCCGAGATACCACCTGACCCATGGTGAAAGTCACATCATGAAACAGGACCTGGCAGGGAGGGGAGGACACACTGGAGAAAACCAGAATGGCACAGCTCAGTTCTGAGAGGCCTTAGGTGCCCTGATACAGAAGCAGGGAACGAAGACGTGGTACAGACAGATCAGGAACCCTCAGTATGCAGCACGCAGGCTCTGGGAGAAGAGTGCAGAGCCAGCCTCCAGGCCCCCGATGAAGCTAGGGTATGTCTGGGGTTACCTGGCTATACAGTAGATAAACTCCAGCGTCCCAGACTCGGACAACGCATCCTTGGGCCTCCAGACCTCTCCCACGCCTAAAAGCTGGCTGCCACATCACCTCTGTCACATCAGAGTCCTCTGGAGGTGAGGAGTGTGGCCATCAGGATTTCTTTGCACTCTCAGATACACACCAGTTCTCTCCCCTTTTCACCTCTAAGATTCTTTTGGGCCCAGGTGCCAGCCCCAAGGTCCTGGATTGTGCCTCGCCCCCAAAGCCATTATTTAAAATAGTGCTCACCCTTGGATGTAACGTTAATGGGAACAAGATGCAGAACTGAGCTCTTCTCTGAGGAGAGAAGGAGGAAATCTCAGCAGTGACCGCCTGCCCAAGGGCCCTGGTGTTCACCACCCGGACCCAGGCTCGAGCGTGCAGTGTCCATGCTGAGCCATCACCTCCCGCCCTGCTGCGCCCAAGGGCTCACTCTTCCGCTTCTGGGTGACCACTGCTCTCCTCCTCCTCCGTCTCTCCCCATTCTCCCAGGCTTCCAAAACATCAGGCCTCTGCTCATGGAAAGAGGGTCAGTGTTAGACTAAGATGCTAGGGTCCTAGAGAGCCTTCCTTAGCTTCCCACCATGCTGGGAATGCCTCAGATCTCTTCTGCACTTTTTCCCAGCACTCTCTGCCTTGGTGCTGGCTGCCCTCCAAGATCTGTTAGGTAAAGAAGCGTTAATCTTTAACAGTTTCCTTTCCTGGAATGGCTGCTCCCTTGACTTCTATACCTAGGACCCTCTCTTGCATCCCTTTGAAACTTTGTAGACCAGGAAGTCACAACCAAGAGCCCCAGAGATCCTGCTGCTGCCCATCTCTCTCCCCCTCCCCAACTTCCCTTTCCCCCACTCACCTGCGCACTGCCGAGGCTCTGCCAGAGAGACCCTTCTCCTCTCTGGGAGGGCCCTCCGCTCTTCTGTAGCTGGCTCAGCTCCCTCCTTAGGCTTCGCAGCTCTGTTTGTTGGGTCAGCAGAGCAATGGCACAAGCCACAGCCCCCAGAGCTGCCCCCCAACTCAACCACAGAGCAACTGAGAGCGCTGACTCTCGGGCTGTGCCCCCCATGTTGTCCAGGGGGCCTTTGGGGGATAGCGAGAAAGGAGATGAGGCTGGCATGAGCCAAGGACCCTGCCAACAGCTGTGGTCTCAGGAATGGGGTGGCAAGGAGGTGGCTGGGGAGGGTGGAGGTGCAGGCAGTGGTACGAAAGCGTTACGCAAGGGAAAAATAAAAAGGAACTTGCGAATAAAAAGGAGGGAGGGGGAAAGCAGGCTGGGGTACTACTGGTGTTCCTGGCGCCCTGCTGTGGGGCTAGAGTCACCTTGAGACCCCCCCAGCCTCAGGAGAGTTTGGTGCCAGTCTCTCTAGGAAGGACAGGACTGCCAGTGACACCCAGGAGGAGCGGCCAGCGCTCAGGAACGCGGGGTTGGCTCCAGAGTTGGGGGAGGGAAGGTTGACTGGCTGTGGGGCATGGTGCCAGGAGCAGGGATGGGGGACACGCTGAGCAGTGTTGAGGGTCTGGGGTAAGTGTGGAAGACCCTGTGGGCCGGGCAAGGGAGAGATCTCTGTGGAAGTCTGCTAGGGGTGACTGACAGAACTGGGAGGTAGGGGTCGGTAGGGAGCAAACCAGGGACAAGAAACTGGCTGGGTGCTGGGGTTAAGGCTGGGGCCGGGTGTGTTGGAATAAGGCTTGCACTGCTCCCTGTGCTGAACTTGGCAAGCAGGACTTCCTGTTTCCCGAGAAGAGCTCTTACATAAGGCTCTGAACTAAGACAAAGAACTAGCTCCAAGCCCCCCAGGCACTTCGGATTCCTCCCCAGGACCCAGGGACCTAGATTCCCCAAATGCCTGGTCCTGGTATCCGGCCTACTGACTCTGGGCCTTCCTTCCAGGGCAGCTTCTCCACCTCCATCTCCCAGCCAGCACCTGCTGAATGTCCTGAGGTCTCCAAGAGAAAGGGCCCTGCTCCTCCCAGCCAGGGACTCCCCCACAGGAGGAAGTCCGCCTCCTAGGGAAATGAGGCCACCTCTGTAGTACCTTGAACGGAGGACCGTTTTTTTCCTGGGCAGTGCACCTTTCGGCTCTCTGCTTATAAATGCCAGTTGGAGGCATACATGTCTCTGCTCCCCAGTGCCCAGACTCACTTCCCATAGCCCTGAGCCACCCTGGGCCCCAATAGAGAGAGAGAGAGAGAGAAAGGGAGAGAGAGAGAAAGAGAGAGAGAGGGAGAAACTATGACTTATTCTCTTTAATATCCACTTATCAACATTTTGTCACAATAATAATAAAAATAATATCTGTTTTCAAAATCCACAGGGAATTGTCAAGGAGGGAGCTTGTCCTGGGCTCTTACCCCTCACATTTGGGAACTCCTGGCCTAGTCCCAGACTCTGGCTTCCAGCCACAAGGTCCAGCTCCTCTCAGTGCCTGAAGCTGGGTCTTCTGGACCCACGCTTGCCCACAGGGCCAGTAAACACCATGTTGGGGGGGATGGCCAGGGGAGAGTGGAGGGATAAATGGGGGCCTGGAAAGATCAGGGGTTTGGGAGCCAGTGAGGTGGGGAAGGGGAGTAAGGAAGGGGAATGGGAAGACAGAACGAGCCCTGGCAGCCTATGGAGGGAGGGCAGATCTGAGCCTGGAAGGCTTAGGGCAGTGCAGAGGGGGCTGGATGTTCAGAGAGCTGTGCAGGGAGCCAGCACCCTAGGAAATCTGCTAGGAGACTGGTCCCTCAGTGAACTTGGAAGAGTCCAAAATAGGTGAGGAAGGGGGCAGCTTTGAGATGGGCCCAGGGGAGGGTGCGGATTCGCAGGGAGGACCCTGGCCTCAGGGGCAACAGCCCTGACACCTGACAGAGTCGCAGCTGGGGCCCGAGGGAACTTGCTGCTGTGGCCGAGAACTCCTCCAGGCAGCGCAGTGCCAGCACGTCATCTACCAGCAAGTCCAGCTTCAGGTAAACAGCCTTGCCCTCATCAAAGTGCACCTGGGCAGCGGGAGGGCAGGCAGAGTCCAGGCCTTTGCTTGCCCTCACCTGAATTTCAAATTTCCTTAAGAGTCCAGGCAACCCATCCCTCCCAAGCCCTAAACCCTGCCTCCGTAGCCTTTAGCTCATCCCCTTCTTTCACCCAAAACTGAACCTTTCTACCCTCGGTGAAAGTCCTACCCACTGAGCCAGGCAGTGCTTACCTGACAGTACAGGTAGTAGAGCCCAGCCCTGGTGACTGTGAATTCCCCAATCTGACGGTCGTAGCGCAGAGGGTTGGAGCTGTTGATTTTGGCTTCTTCCCAGCCACTCACTGTCCCGTCCACACCTGAATGTGGATGTTAAGAGACAAGGAAAGGCCCCTTTACCGTACCGCGCCACATTCCCCAGGGATCCATCTGTTGCGCTTATAAACATTTAGGACCCACCTTAACCACAGAAGATATTGATTGGGAGGTGGGAGGAGCTACACTCTATGGAGCCCATAGGGCAATAGGACATTATGTAAAGAAATCTAACATACGTGAGCAGAAAGATTCAGGACAAATTGTCATGAATGGTCACTTCCAGAGACAAAAGCAGCATTGAAGGAGAAATATGGGGGCTTTTTACTCCATCATGTTTCCATCGTTTGCCTCTTTTATGTTGAGAATGTACATGTACATTACTTGAATCATTAAAACTAGAAAGAATGACACCTAAATGTCCAACAGCTGATGACTGGATAAACAAATGTGGTCTAGCCACATAATGGAATGTTATTCCACCATAGAAAGGAAAGAAAGGCCAGGAATATAGCTCAGTGGCACAAGCACTTGCCTGGCAAGTGCAAGGTCCTGAGTTCGATTCTCGGTACCATTTAAAAAAAAAAAAAAAGAAGGAAAGAAAGGACCAAAATGTTGACCCAAAAAAAAAAAAAAAAAGTATCATAAGGCTGGGTGTGGTGGTGCATGCCTGTAATCCCAGCACTCAGGAGGCTGAGGCAGGAGCATTGTTGCAAGTTCAAGACCAGCCTGGGCTACAAATGGAGCTGAAGACCAGCCTGAGCTGCATATCGAGACCCTGTCTCAAAAAGACCAACAAAAAAAGAAAGTACCAAAATGTTACGCTAAGAAGTCACTCACATAAAGAGCCATATTATATAATCCCATTTGTAGGAAATGTCCAGAATAAGCAAATCTACAGAATCAGGAAGGAGATTATTGGTTCTTAGGGCTGGGGAATGATGGGACTGCGAGGTCATGGCTAGCAGGTATAGACAGGGCTTCTTTTGGAGATGAAGATAATATAAATCACCATGGTGACTGATGCTCACACAACTCTGTGAATATACTAAAAGCCACTGAGTTACATTTTTTTTTTTTTTTTTGTGGTACCAGGGATCGAACTCACAACCTTGCGCTTGCCAGGCAGGCGCTTATGCCACTGAGCTATATCTCCAGCCCATGAGTTACATTCATGTGTTGTGTGTGTATGGTACTGGAGATTGAACCCAGGGCCCTCACACCAAGCTACACACCCATCGCTTTTTTATTTTTTATTGGAGACAGAGTCTCTCTAAATCACTAAATTGCCCAGGGTGGGCTTGAATTTGTGATCCTTCCATGTCAGCCTCCTAGAGTTCTGGGATTACAGCATGCACCACCACGCCTGGTTTGAGTTCTGGGATTACAGCATGCACCACCTACTTTTTAAGTGGGTGAATTATATGGGGTGTGACATGTATCTCAGTAAAACTATCACCAATGTGCACACACACATGCACGCACACACACACCATACCAAAAACAAACCTTAAAGGTGTAGCTCAAAGGTAGAACCCTGGCTTGCATGGGTTCAATCACTAGCACCGGAAAAACCCCAAAATTAACCCCTAGAGCTCCAGTAATTGCAAACTGTAAAACAAACAATAGTGATAGAACTGCCAGGTCCTCCCAGTTTACTGTCTCCAACCTAAACTACGGGCTCCTGATCAGAGTAAACCCTCAGCCAGGCGGGAGTAGTGACACATGCTTGTAATCCCAGCACTTGGAGGTTGAGGCAGGAAGATCCTTGTGAGTTCGAGGCCAGCCTGGGCTACAAAGTGAGCTCAAGGGCAGCCTGAACTGCATAGTGAAACCCTGTCTCAAAAAGACAAAAACATGGGGCTGAGGATTTAGCTCATCAGCACGGTACCTGCCTGGCGAGCGCAAGGTTGTGAGTTCGATTCCCGGTAGGGGAAAAAAACAAACAAACGGACAAAAACAAACAAACAAACAAACCCAGAGTAAGCCCTCCCACCATCCTGGCCTTCATGCGTTCCTGCCGGCACCACACTCATTTCATGCTCAGGGCTTTGCAGTCTTCTCCCTCTTCGCAGGATTTTTCCCTCAACAGCACTTTCTGTTTTCCTGCGCCAGCCAGTTTCAAACAGCCAGCCCTGGCCCTGCCCCCAGCAACCTCTCCTCATCTCTGTTTCTTTCCTATCCCTCAGCAGCAAAAGAACTTGCCTCGTGTATCCACCCATGCGTTAATCTGGGGTCTGACTCCCTTATAAGGGCAGGCATGGCTGTCCTCATCACCACTGTAATCCTGGCACTTGACGCTGGGCCTGGCCTGAGTGGGTACCCCATACATGTTGGTGAGAAAACTGAGGGAATGCAGTGGCTGCCCCTTTTTCAGGCACAAAGTAACTCTCAAGCCAGGCACAGTAGTAACTATGTGTAACCCCCGAAATCTGCGAAGCTGCCCCAGGAACATGCAAATTTGAGACCACCCTGGGCAATTTAGCAAGACTGTATCTGGAAATGTAACTCAGCACTCCCTGGGTTCAATCTCCAGTCATACTCACACATACCCCTCACCTTGGAAGTATTACTCAATGGTAGAGTGCTTCGCTAGCATGCACAAGACCTTAGGTCAGATCCCCAGCACACAGCCCCAAAAGTAGGTGGGTGACTGCTGTAATCCCAGCATTCTGGGAGGCTGAGGTAGGAGGATCACAAGTTTGAGACTAGTCTGGGAAATTTAGCAAGAGCATGCCTCAGATGAAAAAATAAAAAGGACTTAGGATGTAGCTCAGTACTCCCTAAACTTAATCCCCAGTACTACAACAAAATTAACTGGGTATTTTTATTCCCACCTGTGAGTTATGATAACCTATATGCCCTGCGAGTCCAGACCCAGTATTTCTGCATCCTGCTACCACTGCCACCTGAATAGCAATGGGCTCCTCAAACTCATCTTGACCTAGACAGTGGACTCCCCTCACCCCAAACTTGTTTCACTGTCTGTGTCCTGCATTTGGCTCATGGTTCCACCCCTGATTTCGTACCCAAGCCTCCCTCTCTCTACCCACTGTATTGACCGAGCCCTAGTTCCGGTCACTTCTGCCTCCTGAGTAGCTCTGTCCCACCCATTCGCTCTTGCTACAGAGCTGCAGAGCGATGCTTCTAAACTAGACGTGAGCCTCTCCTCGCATTCCCTTTCAATAGCTCAACCAGGAATGACTTCCAAGCTTCACCTGTGCTCTGGCTTCTGCATGTTATCGTCTCCCACCCACCCTCTCTTCCTGGTACTCTCTGCTTCAGCCACACTGGACTTGTCACAGCCCTTGGCTTCATCAGCCTCTTGGCGAACTCTGGGCCTTCATGCTATGGTTCCTTTTCCTGCTGCGTCCTTGACCCCTTTCCACCTTACACTCAAGACTTCAAGGCCCAGTGCTGTCATAGGAAGGGGTCCCTCACTCCACTGCGAAGTTGTCTGTCTTCCTCTGTGCTCTGGCTCCTTTCATTATTGTTCTTGTCATGCAGTACTATAGTTACACATGCATATACTGTCTTTTGTCCTAGATGGTGACTCCTGGAGCATAGGTCTGGGTGTGACTTGCTCTGAGCACCTGGCTGGGTCACTAGCAAACAGCAGGTTCTCAAATGAATGGATGCCCAGATAACTGCCAAAATAGAGGTCTCTGCCGAGGGGAGGTGGCCAGCCTGGCCGCGCAGAACAGCCTGGGGAGATGGGGGAGGGCATCCTGCCTGGGAAATCAGCTTGGGGAAAAGCACCCTGTGGCCAGAAGGCATGGTGAGTCTGCGACTACGGATGGAGCCTGGGCTCACTTGTCACAGCACCACAAACCTTAACGGGACAGTTCACGCTGCCTGGCCACCTACCTATCCCCACAAGCTGGCTTTTGTCTTCACCAAGACAAGGGCTTTGTATCATCTCTCCTCAAACCTCCCATCTCCCTGGTTCTCCAGAGGAACTAGAAGTCCTCAGGAAAAGGCTACCTTCCCTCCCTCCACCAAATCTACAAACCTACCTCTGCTCCTTCAACCCCCTTGTGACAATGAAAGATATGTCCTTCCTGTCCCTCCATCTTCCTGGACATGTCCCTGCAGGTTCCCCCTCCCCGGGGCCAGCAAGCATGCCTCTCACGTTTCTAGGACATAAGCCGCACTAGCTGGCTTCAAAACCTGCCCCCAACTGCTTCGGAGCTGCATGACCTCAGACAAGCTGTGTAACCGCCATTTGTGACAGAGAGGTAACCTGAGTATCTTCCTTGTAGGCCAACTGTGAGGGTTAGATAAGATTTTTAAAAGTGTGTGCAAGGCACAGCACCCGCCCTAAATGGCTCTCAGTAAATGCTAGCTAAAATGAATACATCTTCCTAAGAGAACTAAACTTTTTCACTGATCCACTTCCCCCTCCATCTGCTGGCCCATTTCTCTACCCTTTGTCACAGAGAGGAACAAGAAATCCTCAGGAAAAGGCT